GACCAAGAAATACAGCTATCCTTGCTCCTTGAGAACACCGTTCTTCAGGCTGGGCTTCAGCAACCCAGCAATTCCAGCCTGTTCCAGGGTAGTAAAAACAGCCTGGGAAGGGCTTTGTGGTTTTCTCTCTCCCCAGTAAAAGCTGACTTTTATGAGGCCATTTGTCAGCCCAACGGGGACTTAGATAACTTGCTGTCAACCAACACAACAGCGTTGTTAGTTGAAATGCCAACACAAACACAGTAGCATCCTTGGGTATGTGGCAGTTTGATCCTGTGCCTCTAGAAAGTGCTCTCCTGGCTTATGTGGTTACCACAAATGGACTCACTGTGTTGACAGACATGGGGGTGAGTGAATGCTTGTGTAGGGAAGAGTTTTGTCTTGGCCAAAATAATGATTTCATGTTAATTTATGTAAACTGCTGAAGAAGGTTGCACAGACACACTTATTTGGATGTAAACCTCACTTGTTTCCTGTCAGTTTTGAATGGCTGCCATTTCTCTATATAGACTATGAATTTCAGAAGTATGAAGTTTTCCAGAGTGAATATTTAGAAATAGCATCATTGCAATACCTCTTCTGCTTAGCTTCTTTTTTCCTCTGAAGAAAAAAAGAAAAGCAGCCTCTCTTGTGTGGTTGCTAATCTTCATTTTAGCTGTGTAAGCTACTTCATGAGAGAGAATATAGCAATTTTCCAGTGAAATACATAGACATAGGTTATGGAGAATTGTCACTTTCATTTTATTGTGGTGATAAAACTGGATCAAAATTACTGCTGGTGAATAAGAGAGGTTGCTTGAACTCTGCATCCTTCATCTGATGCTATTTTCTAAAGACTTTACCTTGCTCGCTGACATGCTACAAGTGCAGGGTTTGCCAGATGCACCACTCATCAACTCGTACAGTTTAGCTGATGCTTAGAGACTTAGGGACTTAAGGCTCCTTAAGGCTTTCTATATTCAGGAAATGATTTTATAACAGTGCAGTTAAACTGCTCTGAATGTCATTGACTGTCTAGATCTCTCTGGTCATTCAGACTGTACCTAAACTATGGGGTATGTCCAGAGTCTTTTTGGCCCGGATCATTAAACTTTGGTTGCTATTGCTGCCCTCTCCTGCTATCTGCCCATGTTATTTTTCAATGAAAACCAGCATGTGAGAGAAAGGATGGGGCTTAGCTTGGTGTCATTTCCATAGCTGGGATGCGAAGCTGGACTTGAGCCTCAGGATTATTTTTCTCCAGAACATTTTCTTTTGTAATATTTATTCAGTGTCTGGAATTAAAAAGGTCAGCATGGCTTTCTAAAGTTTACAGTATCCTGAGAGCTAAATGTGTCATGCCAGCCAAAGCTTACTTTTTATTTTGATGGTTGTTGTAGATGGAATGCTGATTTAGGTAGAAGGATCTTCTGTTTGACCTAGTGGAGCCATTTTTATGCACTCATTTATGCAAGGTGGCAAAACACTAAAAGTTCATTACGGATCTAGACATCCTCATTGTATACAATTTTTTGTCACCAAAATGATGGATGGACTTGTAAGATCCCCTGAAACAAACAGTGACCCTTCACTAACTCTAATTACTCTAGAGTGTGAAGTTACACAGGGAAACCAGAGAAGCTAGGAATTTTCTGCACTCAAACATTTCCCTGTGTATTTGTTAAAGGCATACAATGTTCTCTAGCCTCTGCAAGAGATCACCATGAGCTGTATTTGAATGGGAACAATGGGTAACTTCCCTTGGTGCCATCCCACGGTACTCTGTAGAGCTTCTTATACTGAAGGCTTACATTCAGCATCTTTGTGTAAAATACAAACTGGTGATGTTCATTTTACTGCCTCAGTGAATTGCTTTTTGGGCTCCATGCACGTATGTGGCATCCTCCATATCCTGTGGCAATAAGTTCTGATGTTTAATTATGATCTTTGTGGAAAATGTCCTTTCTTTGTTTTATTTGTTTGTTTTTAAACTTGCTAACCTCTCACATTGTTGGGATCACCATGCTTCCTCTGTTAGGAAAGACAGTGAAAAAGTGTTTCTTATTCATGTTCTCAGTTTTATGAGGCTCTTTCACAATGCTTTCCCTCGGTTGTTCCTCTTCCAACATAAAAATCCTGAAGTTATTTTTTTCTTTCTGAGTGCAGAAGTCATTACATACCTTTGATCATCCCGTCACCCTTTTCTTTATCCTCTTTTCCCACTGTCCTCTTTGAGATGAGATGACTGGAACCATATTCAGTATTCAAACTTATGTGGGTAAAGGATTTATATGACAGCATTATCATGTTTTCTTCTGCTGTGTTCTCTGTCCTTTTCTTAATAATTCCTAATATACCATTTCCTTTTTTGACAGCTGCTGAGAAACTAGGTGACATTTTCAGAAAGCTATTTCCAAACTCTCTTTGCAAAAACTGATTTTGCTGTGTTTATAAATTTCTCGAGGTACAGGTATGAGACATTAGTTATTTAGTTGCGAAAGCAAGGCTAAATTACAAGACAGTTTTTTGCAATAAACATGATAATTGTTGGTAGAATTTAATATTCTCTCAGTTCCACTGGCAATGTTGCAGTGTTCCGGGTTTTATTATTCTAGAGATTTCTCACAATAAGTATGTGAAGCAGTGTGAATGTTTCCCACGAACCCCGTTTGTTTAGCAGGTTGGTGATAATTCTGACAAGAAACTCTTTCAGGAAATAGTTCATTCAGTAAGTTTTATCTAAGAGGATTTTGCTAATTTTTCCACGGTAAAGGTTTATCCTTACTAAATCCAGAAGAATCCAAACAAAGCCAGAGTCCTTTGCTGTAATAACTTGAGAGAGATTTCATCTCACAGTCTTAAGTATCAGGCAGAGAAGTATAGCTCTTCAGTTTTTTTCATAACTGAAGTGTACTATTACTATTATAATGGCTAGGATGGAGTTCTGGGGCTTGAATTAAATAAATCAATTCAAGACTGTTAAAGTCTAACAATAAAAAAATATAAAGTAGTTGTTTCTAAAGGAAATGCTAACTGAATACGTATAGTACTGCAAGTCAGTAAGTTCATCTGACTTCAAAATACTTGCTATATTATATTTCAATGATTATTATTGAAAATTCCTTTATGGACCAAAGAGAATTCAGTGTCATGTCATTAGGAAGGGCTTTTTTTTTAATGATGTTTCCAGCATTCCATATGAATCTCTCTGTGAATCCATTTGCTTGTTAATATAAGACCTTGTTCTCAAATGTGTGGCTGCACAGCAGTGGAGAGCTGAAGGTCTTGAAGCTTTCCTGTTAACACAGCTTTCTCTGAGAAGTTCTATACCTTATTTGTTCCATTTGTTCCTATTCATTCTAGGCAGAGTTTTCTTCAGTGATTTGTTTGTTTGTTTGTTTGTTTGTTTGTTTTGCATTCCAGTCTCAGTCCTGCTTAGTCTGTTACAGATCTGAGATGGAGTATTATTTTATTTTACAGCTGTGGTGGGTTGACTCAGGCCATCAGCCAGGCAGACACCCAGCCACTCTTTCATTCTTCATCCTCAACAGGACAGAAGAAAATAAGGTGGAAAAGCTCCTGGTTCTAAATAAAGACAGAGAGGTCACTTAGCAGTTACCTGTTAAAGGAGACTCAACTTGGGAAAACTAACATAATATATTACCAATCTAAAATACAGTAGGATAGCAAGAAACAGAAACAAAATTAAACTGCCTTCCTCCTACCACCCTTCCTTGCAGGCTCAACTATACTTCACTCTATCATTCCCTACTCCAACAGGGTCTTCCACAGGCTGCAGTGTAAGTATCTGGTCCTTTGTGATACCCTCCATGGGCTTCAGGAGGACATCTGTTTTACCACAGTCTCCAGGGACTGCAAGGAATCTCTGCTCTGGTACCTTCAGCACCTCCTCCCCTTACTTCTTTGATCTCAGTGTTTTGCAGAGTAGTTACGCTTACGGTTTTTCTCAGACCTCTCACAGTTGCCAGTTTTTTGCACTTTCTTAAATATGTTTTTACAGAAACTGACGGGCTCAGGTTGGCCAGTGGCAGCTCCAGTGGCCAAACCAACTGAAATCAATTTTGTCTGGCATAGAATTAGCCACTGATCTCTCGTCACAGCGGTCACTGACTTGTTACATAAACCCAACACAATAGCAATGAGTAGTGACTTCAGTGAAAGACATGTATCAAGTTTCCAGATCTTCTCTGTGCTAAGCTTCATTTCCCTTTGACTACTGTCAGTGTGGATCCAGCATAGTGACCAGAGCCTTCCCAATGTTTTCTGCCAGCTTTAATCACTGTTACTCTTTAAAAGCTGAGTAGCTGCCATTCTGCACTACAGCAGTGTGTCCCTCTTTTGCACAGACTGAGTCGATGGAAGGATTGATCATCTCCCAGTTTGTCAATTGCATTCAGATTTGTAGAGGTGAGACAGCTCCTCAAACCAGGCCACTGTCCTGGTAGGGATGTCTGGAAATTAGGAAGCTAGACTTCAAATATGATAACATTCCGAGTACAAAGAGCTATCTTCTGTTATTAGAACACAAATAAGGAGGCTGAGTACATGAATTAGTACAAAAGATAGCCAAAGAACTCTAGACAATGGTTTGAAAGACATTTACGGACATGACTTTATGGGCCTGTTTAAGAAAGTCATTACTTCAGCATATTGGTTTATTAAACCAGGAAGGAGACTGATCTCTTTAATTTTTGCTGTTTCCTTACACTTCAAACAGTTTAGAAATGGAGATATGCCAGAAAAGAAATTAAGTAATTACTCTTCTCATTGTCCTGATTTCTTGCACACTGTTTATTCTATGTACCTCAGGAAGTCTGATCTGAGCAGTTTGTCTTGTAGAAGTCCATAAACTCTGCAGATTCAATGATAGGGTCAAAGACTATTTTTTGGGTGAAGAATCCAATTTAAAAAAAAAAAAAGTACATTATTTTAGAGAAATTTTGTTGTGATATTTTTGCAGCTGAAATGATTACTAAGTGCTTGATTATTCTTCTTTTCAGAACGTACTTACATCTTTAGATTTCTTCCTTGAAACCACAGAGTGACTGCACAAACTCACCAACAACCACAAGCTTTTAAAAATATCACCGGTCTTCTGACAAGTAAGTTTTTCATTTCAAGTTTTGTTTTCTCCCTGACCTGTATTTCATCTCTCTATTTATTATATGAATGACCATCCTCATTTTCTGTGCAAAGTGAATGAGTGTAAATTGTATAGCGTGAAAGTTTGAATGAAATCTATCAGCATAAATAAACAGATATAGCTGAGACGAAATTCTGAATCACCTCATTCCAACTTGTGCCAGCGGTACTGTACTCGCATCTTTGGATGTTTTAGCATTTTCTCCTCACAGTAGGATGTGGTTAAATCCTCATTTCTGGGAACAGAATTGTGGCATCAGTGTCAGGAAATGCTTATCCTTTTGCAATTGTGTTCTTTACCTAAGGAGTCTATATATGTTATTCATTTTGGCAAATGAGACCCTAAAGTTCACTAGAGTTTGCATGGATACCTAAGAGAGTTCTTGCATATAATTTTCCTTTGCCCCAAGTTATACTGCTACTTCAGATCATAAGATTGGGCAAACTCAATACATTTAAAGAGCAGAAATGTACTATGTATGAAGAACACAGCAACAATAACTTCTTCTAAACCTTACAATATAAGTTGGCACTTGAGCTTCTTCACCTGAAGAAGTGTTTTTTTTCTTTTGGTGCGCAAGACATTGAGATCTGTGGTACTGAACATTAAGATTCCAATGGATCATTTTCAGATCCGACCAACTGGGCATATTTCTGGCAATAACAGTGGCTGTAAGCTTTCTTTGCCCATTTAATCTCCTCTAGTCTCTCTGCATGTTTGGTCTTCTGAAAAGTTAAATATCTTAGTCTCAGACTTGTACTACAACTGATAGGATTATAGGTAATGGCCTCAAAGTATACCAAGGGAGGTTTGTGTTGGATACTAGGAAAGATTTCTTCTCAGAAAAAGTGGTAATGCTTAGGAACAGGGAGGTGATGGCATCACTATCCTAGGAGGTGTTCAGGAACCATGTGGATGTGGCACTGAGGAACATGGTTAGTGGGCATGGTGAAAGTGGGTTGGTGGTTGTACTTGATCTTAATGATCTTTTCCTAGCTTTATGATTCTGTATGTCATAAACTTGCTAACACCTGACTAAAATCAATACCTTACACAGTGCAATCTACCTAGGTTATACCAGAAAAAAAAAAATCTTGTTTACACAGTGTTGCTTAATATTATTACATAATATTATCTATATTGCAGCCATACCAGACTTGCTTTCTTCTTCCTACTCTGCGTTGTGTTTCTCATATTCCCTTGCATTCTACTAAATTTATACCTGCCCTTAAACCTTCTCATGTCTGTGCGGTCTTGATACATCATACTGTTGCTATTTTGTGTAAAGTGAGAAGCTCAAACCTTGAAAAAGATCTTTGAAATTAGTTTGCTCATTATTGTTGCAATTTCTGGACTCTCTTGTGACTGTGGAAGGAAATGGGAAGCAGAGCTGCTCTGATCCCTGACTTCTATCATCATAGAACAATAGGAAATCCTTCTTTCAAAACCATTGAAGCCTTTCAAAGTAACCAGAATAACCAGAAGTTACTCAATCTGAGCAAAGTCCAAGATGAAAACTCTGAGACAAATATCATGATGGTATCTCTTGAAAATTGTGGAGCTTCCACAGAAGTTCAGAAATCTGAGTAAACTTAAGGAAAGGGAATTGGAAATATCTGGAAAGTGCTGGGAACAATAACATCTGAGGACAGCATCTGTGATAAGAGGAGAGGTCTAATCGGTTTGGAAAAATGAGAAGAAAAAGAATAACTTACTGTGGAGAAGGGAGGAGGAGTATCCTTACTGTTTGCTAAGAGGAGGCAAAACTGCTTTCTGTTCAAGACATGTTGAAGGAAAACCTCAGAACTTCTTAAAGTTTTCTTGCTCATAAAGAATAAGGTGTTTAAGAAATTATATCCTAAAACATAAAAATATTTCCAAGTAATGGAGTCCAATCATCCTAGTTTAAGTGGGGGACTTAGATGTAGATATTTATATAAGAAATATAAACGTGAATATATATAAATCTGTTCCCAGAGACTGCTTCACCAAAATAGCAATGAAAAGTCTCATATCACTACAGCATTCCTCCATCTTTCTTTGTGGTTTCATATAGCTTCTGTAAATATTATGTTATTTACTTCTTGTTGGAATATATTCCTCCTCAGTGTACCCAATGGATTTTATGAAAGTGAATGCCTAGTTACATTCTGCCTCAGCCCTGACAATCATATTTGATCACTCTGTGCATGATAGGTAATGAAATTTTAGTACATTATCACTTCTTGCCTCTTCATATTTCTGAAATAACGATGAAAAGAATACATTCATTACCTCATGTATCATAATTAAGCAAATTTTGCTGCCTACAGTCTCCAGAATAAAAGATATTTAGTGCATTATTTAATATAAAAGAGGAAAAAAGTGATGTAAAAAATATGTGCTATTTACGTGAAGTAGTGAAAATACAGGAATAAAAAACTTTGAGTTCATATTATTTTTAATGAAATTACATTTAAGGCATATAAGCTGTAGATTGCAAATGTAAAATTTCACATTCTATACAAGCAGATGACACGGTAGGATACTGTTTACTTGATTGAATGTTCACTTGGATTTTACTAACAGAGACCAGTGCTTTAATTTCTTCTTCTATATTTGTCTCTAAGTTTGGAGCTCCGTCTTGTTTACCACCAAAAGCATATCATAAGGAAGCTGAGAGCATTTGCTGTGTTGTGAATCCAATTCTAATATCTGAATTACCAAATCTGTATGTGGCACCATGCATATAAGCACTGTGAAAAAAACTGAGTTATCATCTCAACAAGATAAGAAATAGAGAGTCAGCCTGGAAGGAGATAAAGGAAGTTTTCATTTTGTAATGAGAGGGCAAGGGGAAAACGCTCTATTTAGGCTTACATATACTGATCTATGTTAACCAAAAAAGAACCCTGTGTTTTGAGTCAGATGCTACAAAATCAGTGGAGGAAGACAGGCTGGTTCAGAGCATAGGTCACAATAGTGATAGTCAGATTTTGTAGAGCAGAATTGTAGTAGTGACTTGTTCAGTCCAGGGTTAATTCTCTCTACTAAGGAATAATTTTTAATTTCCTCTACTGAGGAGTGTTTTACCTCAAGTCCCTCGCCTCTGATTACACCACCTTTCAACTGCCTTGACCCTACAGTATTCCCAGGCAAAGTATGCATTAGAGTATACTTTGATCTACACAAAGTTCTGATTTAAAAAAAAAAAGATAATATATATATATACCCTACACAATGTCAACCTACTAATCTAGTTTATCACAGAAAATAATTGGCATCAGGAGTCTTAAGTGAGGGAGGGCACTTGCAGTGGGTTTCAACCATGTTCACAGACACATTTTCAGCATTTTTCAGACAACCTGGAAGCTGATAGAATATCCCTGTCCATGAAATTTGCAGATAATACAGAGTCCAGGCACCTTACTGTAGCGAGCAACCTGGGTTGCTTGGTAACCTCAGGCCAGCTATACAAAGTAAAACACTGAATTTAAGGCTAATGAATACAAATTTCATTGGGGGAAAGGGGAGGTGTGTTCTAAAGACTTCCTAGCCTTTGAGTGGGGAAAAAAATTATGAATTGTAGCAAATAACTAATCTGAGTGAGAAAATGGATTGCATAGAAGGGGGGTTGTTGTTTTGTTTGAAAGGTTGGCTTCAGACTGATACCAGAATACTGTGTTCTGATGTCCTTGCTTTAAGAAAAGGATGTTGGGAATCAGAGGGGGTCAGAAGAGGGCCACAGAAATTGTTAGTACGCTGATGTCTGCAACAGATTTGAAGAGCTGTGTCTGCTTTGGCTATTTAAAAAGCCTCTGAGATACAATTTGATGGCCCTGCCATGGGGAAAAGCAAGAAAGGAACGTAATTGAAATCATCACCTGATCTTTCTTTTGCATGTTTACTTTTTAATTAGTTTCCTGGAAAAGTGCTGGTTCCTCTCAGCTGGTATCATTAAAGTGGTTTGATTTTCTGCCACAGTGCAGCAGTAGATAATACAGTGAGTGACCTCACTTATTTGATAATCTAGACTGGGAAGTACATTATGACCCCAGTGAGAGTGGTTAATTTCCTTTAACTTTGTATTCTCCTTGCTTACCGTGTAGTTGATAGGCAACATACTTCCCACAGTAAAAACAGCAGTGGGGGATAAGTCCTTGATCACTGCATCACTGCCGTGAGACTATCATATATATGATTATTTTGACTATTACTTTGAATTTGCCACTTCTGTTTTGGAAAGGTGGAGCTAGACTAAGTGATCTTTAGGCAGTAATATAAAAGTTTTTGCTTTTGTTGCATTAGAAACCAATTACTGACATTTCACATTTACTGCATGCGTATTTGTTTTATTTAATTAAGCTGATATGTTGGTCAAAATAGCCATTCTTTATACTGAGTAAAGAGAACGTATGAGTTTCTTTGTTTACTCTGTCATGCAAGGTTTTAAAGTGAGTAGATTTCAGCCTCTGCTATGAAGTTTTAACTACACTGGAAAACAAGTTTTTTTGCTTTTGTCATCTCTCAAGAGGTAGCTTTGCATAGACGAGCGACTGAGCAGAACTAGCCTGAATGAAGAAAATATATTCTCTGCAACTGCAGAGGAAACTACAGCTATCAAACTTGGGCTTGACACTTAGTTGGAGGCTGTTTCCTCAATCACTCAAATTCTCCCAGCTCAGTGATGTGATTGTAAACCGTAAATCACTGCCAACAGATATGTAATACCAGAATACTGCATGTTATTTAATGTAAATCAATTCATGGAAGTTTGACAGTATATTGTTTAAAAATTATACTTAATTTTTAATAATCCTATTTTAAACTATATATTTAATCTGAAAAAAAAAACCAGTTTCTAGTTTAAAATAAACCACAAAAAATAGAGGGAAAAACAGTTTAAAATAAATCTATTCTTGCATTAAAAAGCAATAAATCGGTATTTACCCAGGCTGTCTATAAGACAACAAAATTTAG